AGGTTTTTACCTTTGAAAGGAATAGGGGTATCTACGTCAGAAAATAGAAATCCATTAAAAATGATCGCTGTTTCTATTTGTAGAACATTTTATTTCGCTATAGGTATTTTTTATTATGTAGAGGTAAGTGAGTCAAATGATAACGAATGTTCATTAGCCAACAGTCATTTTTCTCGAAAACTTTGCAGCAAAAAATCGACAAGTTAATTTTAAAACGGTGAAGCATACTTGTAGACAAGTGTTTTATCGAAAACAGTTCAAGCATCATCGAGCTTTTATTAACATCGTCGTGAGCTTAACCTCTGCTTCAAACGACTTTTATGGAAATATTTAACTTCAGATTATTCATTAATTGTCTGTTTTGTACGATCAATCAGTGGAAAATATTTTAATTGGAATGTTTTACAAGTACCTAACTACCAATTAACTAACTCTTGAATACTAAATACTTAAGTAGTATTTTCAATAGTTTGTTTGCGAAGAGAACTAAACAAACTAATTTGTTTCTAATTATATAGATATTTGTATTTCATGTAGGTATTTTACTTATTATTTCTATGAATAAAATTACTTCGATCCAAGTAAAACAATCTCGACGATTAATTTATCTATAATAACGCACGATTTCAAACATTGTTCAATAATAGAATTTCTGTGGTAATGTGTACGATAACACTTCCGGCGACAATGTAAAACTTGGTCGCTAACCCTCGGTATCAGTCTCTTTACAGCGCACAACTTTACACAAAGGGTATAAAAATACCCCAGAGATATGGTGCACTGACGAGTTTTGCGTATACGTCAGTGTCTGCTTTTATCTGCATAAGCAAACCTTTTTAAAACCCATAGGTTGAAAATCTAGGTTTTTCTATAGACTACAAAAATATCTTTTACAGATTTACATGGATTTAGTTAGCGTTTTATCACCCATTTTTTTTAATGGGAATCTATTATTTTTCTTTTTAAAATTTTCAGTACATAGCAAAGCGTTATCAAAACAGACTTGTTGAAGTATAATCTTGAAATAGTTTTCCTGCCCGCATCTCAGTCAGATAATATAATCAAATAAGAACTCCATGTTCCCTACGTTAAGTTTCAAAGGAATCCTTTAGTAATTACGAATGGCACTGCAAAATTTTATATCAATTTCGTTAATCACATAAACTTTGACATCTCAAAACGTAGGCAAATACCTACGAAAAAATTAACTGTTGTCAGGACCAATCTTTTCAATTCCCCAGTAATGAGGACACATAAAAAATCAACGATTTTATATGTACGCTAATGGACTATTTTGGGTGCGCTCCAAATTGCCTGAATGATCATTACGTTAAATGGAGCCGTAGTTAATATGTTGTAGGTTAAATTATCTTCCTTAGAACATAAATAATAGAAAAATTTCATCAATAAAAATAAACATAATTATATAAAATACGTCATGCTTTGCTGTGGGTTAATAAACGGCTACAGGTTTTTTTTATGGAACCTTGCCCCACGCTAGGATTTTCTTCTGTGTCGTAGGTGTGTTTACAAACATACAAGCTTACATACACATGACACTCAGACTCGAAACAACAATGTGTGGATCACACAAAGAGTTGTTCCGCGCGGGAATCGAACCTGCGACACGTTGCGCGGCAGCAGTTGCCCAACAACCGCGCCGACCGTGCAGTCAACGTCGCGCATGTTGAGCTATAGCCTCTAGCCTGGCCTCTAGACGTCCCCTACTGAAAATAGGCCTCTCGCAATTACTTCTATATAATTATTTGTATTATACTACACAATACCTATATAATAATAATTACATTGGAAATTTACCTATTTTCCATGTCAGGTTATTTTGTAACATGGTATGCCATCAACCAATGTTCCATCCAGATAGACTACAAAGAAAACTCAGATTTTTCAATGACAAATGTGTTTTTCACACGACACGTAATTATATTTCATTGTGTGGTTATACATAATGACATCGACCTATGAATGTAAGTATATTACAATGTAAAGAAGAAATCGATGATGTCTAGGTTTGAAAATAAATTGCCTTAACTATTGCCGCAGTGCAATTTTCGAATGGAACGAGACAATTACTTGCGAGATCTACAAATTTTTGTTGTTGATCTGATGCTGATTTAAGGCAAACATGAAAAAAAAGGCTATTGAACTCTAGTGCGGTTCAAGGTTTATTTTGAAATATTGGTGAGTCTTTTGTAGTGATTCTAGATGCGTTGTTTTAACAGTTTGCTACATTGAACTTAATATGACATTTGAGTACCACTCGAAAAAAAAAATTCTACCTGTCGTCGTAATCTTTTGTGAAATCTGTTTAGAAACCCTTGCTGACTATGAAGGTAAAATTAATATACGATTTTGAGGTCATCAACCTAGTGACTGAGCCAAAATAAAAACGGTATGCAGATATAAAGTAGGTAATACAAGACAATAATTTTGATCCGATAATTTTGGTGACATATGAATGTCCAAAAATCTAGTCATAAAACGGATAAGACAATCATCTATATTATAGTTTACAATGAGAAATACAATGTATCAAATTATTTATAGTATTTCAGTGCACCGTTATATGAAATGGTCTCGGTATACCTTGAAATAAGTAGGTCACTTCAATTAATATTTGAAACAGATAGTTGGCTATGTAAACTATGCGGGCTTAGGAGGCCCGTTGGCATTTGAAATATTAGGATAGCATAGCATAAATTGTTATATGCTGAGTTTGTTAATGTCATATTCAATGTTTGTAGAAAAGTAAAGCTCAAACTTCAACGCAGTATCCGAAATATAGTTACATTAATCTTTCGTGTGCCTAAGAGGTGGATCCACGCGAGACACCATATATTTTCTATTGTGTCTCATATCGGTGCATTCTAAAGGTAGAATAAATAAGTTTGTAAGTTTTTTAAATCAATTGTCTGGAGAACTAGGCACTGACCTGACTTGATTTATAGAATACAAGCTTCTGCTAGCGGCTTCGCTCGCGTTCCTGTGGGTCAAAAAGTGGCCTATGTGTTATACCAGACCATAATCCACCCGCGTTCCAAATTTCATCCTGATCCCTTCAGCCGTTTTGACGTGAAAGAGTAACAAACAAATAAACACACACACACACATACACATACATCCTCACAAACTTTCGCATTTATAATATTAGTTATATTTATTTTAATTTTAAGTACATAATGACATATTTATTAGTTTAATTATTTCTACTATCTGCTAAGATATATAAAAATAAATATTAAATAAAAAATAAATAAAAATAACTATACATACAGAGCATCGAAAAATTCGTCCGAATCGACGTCTATAGGGAAAGTAACCAGAAGGCTGGCAGCATTGCCACATTGCTTAATTAAACTTAAATGCTTATTATAAGTAAGATTTTTCTAAATAACTGCAAATGTAAGTTGAGGAAAGTAAGTGTTGCGTAAACTCACTATTGGCTATCTCTATCTGGCGAAGAATGACAATCGTGGTATAAGATTCCTTGTAATTGGCTGAAATTTTTATTAAATATAGAATTGACTTGGGCCGTACATACAAACCGCTTCACTGCAGCAAATAATCTTTCCCCGCATTTATCAGAATTTCACTAAATATCTGCAATGCCGCAGCCTGCTGCAATATACAACACTTAGGAAAATAGGCTATGGCAATATCCACGATACTGGTGCCAGATTTTCGTAGATTTCTTTTCCGTTATCACTGTACTAAATTTTCAATTTAAAGCAGAAAAGGTATTATATTAAACATAAGAATATTTGTTAGCTTTTTTTATAACTGTGTGTTATATTTTAGACTTAAATAGAATATCCAATGATTTACCCAATTTTAGATATCCCTCATTCCTACTAGGTAATCAGGACAAAGATTAGGTTAAATTTGGTGGGTAAATCCATTTAAGACCAGACCGCTTAAGACCTTCAGATAACTTCACATTTTTCTGGCGTCGACGTAATTTTGTGTCCTTAATTATTTGTTTAAATTCTTCCTATATCTAAATTGTTAAACCAAATATATTTTAAAACATTAGTTACAGTAGCCAAACTTTTGTAATTAATTACATTTCTAGCACTGGATCAGCTGACCAATTTCAATGAACTGTTTGACTGTATTTCAGTCTGTATTCTAATTCTAATTCTGTAGTCTGTATTCTAACAGTCAATAATTATAAATATCGTTATTTATTATCAACAATATTGTTAATTGTTTAAAGAGTGACTATTACACCGTGTTAAAGTTTTACTAGATCGCATAAAGTATTAATAGTGACACTATTTTATATATTATCAATGTGAATGCCTCATTGGTCGATTGAAACTCAACTTGATCTCGGATTCCGATTTTGGGTTGGACAAAACAATATTAAGTTTACCAGTTTTTTTATTATTTCACAGTCACAGCGTAGAGTTTAAATCCGTAGTGTATGGCAATTAGTTCATTTCCTACCATATGGGACTTTAAAATAATTCACTGACATGACTCAGTCTCAGTCTACTTACACCTACTTATGCCCCTTCAGAAAACAAAAGGGAACATTCTACTGGGTATTGTAGCTATAGTGACTGCACCCATCCAGTCGCAGATATTGTAAGTTGACTCTGCACTCATGCCCGAGAGAGCTTATCTTCGTTCAAATAAGTCATTCATGTTTGATTGACGTGCTCGGTTAGCTAAGTTTAATTCTGGTTGGCTCCTATACAGTACGCAATAACTATTTACTGTATGTGAATTTTATATTTATATATTAAAGTCGATAGATGGTTTCATACGTCAGGCGTTATATAGAGATGTCTCTTATTAATAAACTAAAAACCTAAATAAATACAAGCCTTCGTTGTCACCATGCATAACCATATTTGAAACAAATGAGTCCTCGAACCGTTTCCAATCAACGTTATTGATAACAATTTTCTGTTTTTCGCACCCATTCGAACGGGGCGGCACTAAATTGTGTTTTAAATGACATGTTTTTATTTCAGGGGCGCCGGTGGGGGAGGGATGTTCGGTGATGTCAATATATCAGCTATTTTGGATTCATTTAGTATAAGTTACGACAAAAGAGTAAGACCAAATTATGGAGGTGAGTATTCTCAAGCTTCGGTTTGATTTATCTTGACTGAAATAATTGATTATGAACTGACAACTGTGAAGTCACATTAATGATTAAAATGATGAAGTGTTATTGAAATATGAAGGCATATTTAGGATGGGGCCTAGTCACAAAACGTTTGAGAATTCGAATTCAAGGCTAGGCGTGGTGTATTAATTTGATTCTGATTGACTGCCTCCTCAGTCAAGTAGCTGCAAATCGGGCGTCAACCAAAAATAGGTACCTGGGTTGGACCCTTAAGCAGTAAATGTGTTATTGGGTTTTTGGTTCATTTTGACGTATTATGTCTGACTTGGCTCAAAATGACTTGGCCCTTGCAGACCGTTATTGCAGATGTGCCTAGACTACAGTGGCCATTTACCGTCAGACGGTTTGAAGTTTTGTAGCTACTTAGTAAATAATAACGAAGTCATAGTAGATGCTAGAAGAACTTCGACGTGCGTCACCGGGACGTGATAATTATTATGTTTTACAGTGTCAAATCCATGTATGTATTTTTACGTAAATATTATGTTACTGTTAAAAAAATTGATTGTACAGTACTGTTAGAATAATAATATAACAAAGGGTGTTCAAAATTTTGAACCAGTTGATACTAGTTAAATCGTTACTAGACCCAATTTTTTTCTGTTTGCTATTGCACATAACTTTCGTTGTTATTACCTTTAGATTAGGAAAAGGTAAAAAGTGAAAGATTGTTATAGGAAATCCATTAGAGAAATAATCAGACTAATTTATTTTTGATGTGTCTTGTTCCCTTTCCAACAGGTTTCTACCTATTATTTTTTTAGTTTATTTAACTATAGGCACTGGTCTGAATAAAGTGACTTTGGCGTTGGTGCAATGTGGGTACTTACCTTACAGAAAATATTGATACTAATAATTATAAACTAAAGATTATACTTATAATATACTATTTAAAGATGAATAAGTAATGATTATATGTCTCCCAGCACACCACTTTGTGTCCATGTTCCAATAATAATACTGTTATTTCGAATTAAATTCTTCTTTCTCTTTAATTAATTTGGCTGAAGAATGATTTAATTTTTTGAAGAAGATACATAGCAATTTTTTCTGTAGAGTCAACTCAACTTTTCTACAAATGGTTTTTCATGGTGTTTTGAAGTACCAACGTAGTGCTTATGTTATGTCCTGTGATATAAATAATTCCCATTGCAATCTACAGAAACTACTTTCCATCGACCGCCACAGATCTCATACGTGCATAATGTCGCCGGAACGTGACTCGAACTAACTCACGTGTTTGCTAAAGTATTAAACACGCCCCTCGTTGTGTGTCAATTCAATTAATATGATACAATACTTAAGAAGTATTCTCATTAATTGGAGAGCTCATTACGGTAACTCGCAAATAGTAATTACAACAAATAACTAACACTTGTTATGTGTTGTGTATTGTGTCGTTTTCAGGACCACCCGTGGAAGTGGGGGTTACCATGTACGTGCTCTCCATCAGCTCTCTGTCTGAAGTGAAAATGGTATCTTATTTTCAAAGCAATTTTAAGACACAACGCATACATAGCAAGATTTTATCCTTTAGCATTATCACCAGCATTAAACCGTTCATCGTAGCACCCGTGTCCACGGTTCGATTGCATTTGATGGGTGTAGGCGCGAGTCGCGACACCTGGCCTTGCCGTAGCTGGCTGGCCGGGTCGCCGCACCCGCACTCCTCGTGCACAGCAGCGACCACTAGACATTCGCAGGCACCCCGCGCCTCTCGCGTCCCTTCTGCTCCGCTCGCCCGGCGATGGGGCACGTCACCGACCTCTGGTTTGGTTTTCACGGCGCGAGGCGCGCGCGCGACTCACGATTGGGCTTGATTGCAGGTCCGCCAGTGGAGGTGGGCGTCACCATGTATGTGCTCTCTATCAGCTCCGTCTCCGAAGTGCTCATGGTACTCGCCACTGTCAGCTCACGCTTGTCTCGGTCGCTCCGGCCGCGCGCTGCGCCGCTGCGACCGAGCAGCCCCAGACACGAGGCTGCGAGCATGTCCGCGTTTGGTGGAGCAGATCGCCCTTTGTCCGCCCACTTGCTTTCTTATTATGTTTCCTGGTAAACTCGTTTATATCAAAAAGTGAAAGGACTATGCCCATTTATTTGTGTCCCCATATTAAAAATAACATTCATTATGGTCACCAATATAATCAAAATATTGAACAAAACTGCAATATTACTTGTTTCCATTGATTGATAATTATTTTACAGGAATTTATATTAGTTAGTGGTGCAATGTGATAATACATGGTTTACACAACCATCATGTGTAACTACGCATGAAAGCAGACTTTTCATTGGAGCATCATTATTCAAAATCTTTAGGCACTTATTTAACTTTTAAAAATATGAAGAAACTTTTTTAATATTAATAAAGCCACGGCTTCACAAGTTTTATTGTGAATATTATCAAGTACAAGTTGTATCTAAAAGTGATAAATTCTACTTCAGATTAGCTGCTTTAGTCTGGTGGGCATTGTCCTTTAATGATGAAATCATAATAAGAAAGGCAACCCGTTGAACCTTAAAATTATCCAGTTGTGTGTCCTGCAGTACTCGTAACTCCAAAGCTGCTGCCATATCAAGTGATGACGTCTGTCCTCTGATTACTTTACTTTTACATTTGCTATTTTACTATTATTATTTCCTTTCGTTATTGACTAAATTACAGATTGGAATACTTTGATTTGATGAATTTTTTTTTAGTTTTTATTTACCACAAATTACGTGTGCAATCCTACTTTCCAAAGCTATATTTTTTTCTTTTTATAATATTATTTCAGTCAAATATCTAGCCAACAGAATATCATCACTTTCTTCGCTGTGGTTTGGCGTAGAAATAATTAAAAAGTAAAAGTATATTACAAACAGTAGATTAATGTTATTGTAAATGGCAATGAAGGTGGCCTTTATTAAAAAAACCAAGGCATGATCTCAAAATACATTTAATAAGAACGTACATTAAATGTGTTCAGGCTCTGTGGACTTGCGACGACTGTATAACTCTTATCGTGATTCATTTTTGTAGTTTGTTGTGAATGTACGTATTATGTGTATTTACTGAAATATTGCCAACATAATTGTAACTTTCTAATATCTCCAGTGACTTGGAACATCGATACTATCTGACCTTATTTTATTAGTACCGCTTTCGTGAGTTTGCTGTTTTTGATACTGATATCCCTATATATATTTGCGCAGTTCGATGGTCAGAATAAAAAAACCGAATTCGGTTTTACAATATGTCTAACTGTGTAAGCTTGCTAGGCGTATGTTTGGGTGAAGGACCCTGAAGTGGAAACCAAATCAAGGTTGGGAAGGTCACAATGAGACGTGACCCATGGCCCAGGGTGGGGAGGTTGCCTAATTCACAATCCGCAAACTCTCGATTCGACCTCATAATGGACGTCAATTTGTTCCACATACCTGGTCCGAACTTTGTTGGTGGCAACTTGTATACGTACCGGCTTGTTAGCTTGAGTCAATAGAGGATTGCCTCTATCGAGCCGTGGGTGTCCGCCTTCGCCGCCGCCCACACACCTCGCCCTCTCCTATCACTTAGAGCACCCACATCCCTATTCATTATTAGACCTCACCTGTGTTCTGTAGGCTTCATGTCACTATCACACTCTCTGCACATTTTATTTTTTTCATAACTGTTTAAAGCTTATCGCTCAATTTAACTTTTCGATGTAGTGCAGTGTCTATATATTTTCCAATGTTATTTCTGTCCGAAGTCACGAGAACTAAGCTTCGACTTTATTGTTTTCAATTTAAAAATTATATTTAATTAGCCTTTTGTGAACATTTGTCGCAGTGTATCTATACTAAGACATTGTGTAGGATGAATATATCTATATGGAACAAAGCATGCAGATGTTAGTTGTTAATTTATAGTTACCCAATACTAAAATATATTTGTGTATATACCTACTTCCTTAAAATTGTTTAAGTGCACTGACTACAAAAATATGGACATCCAACGTTCCTGCTGCACATTTATACATGCAGTTTGAATTGTTTAGTTGGAATGATGAGCCAACACGTTACATACCATAAAACGATACCCACCATTTATATAGTCAGAATTACTCATAATTTCAGTTAAAATCCATCCTCTATTTGTTTTATTTATACTATTACTTTCGATAGACGTGCAAACTTTGTTTAATGATTATGATTTTTTTTCTCAGGATTTCACATTGGATTTTTACTTCAGACAATTTTGGACCGACCCCCGATTAGCTTACAAAAAAAGAACTGGAGTTGAGACATTATCTGTGGGTTCGGAGTTCATAAAGAATATATGGGTGCCAGACACGTTTTTTGTAAACGAAAAGCAATCTTATTTCCATATAGCAACAACAAGCAACGAATTCATACGTATTCATTATTCTGGCTCTATCACTAGGAGTATCAGGTAAAACCTCTGACATTAATATAATGACATAATGCCTGACATAATACCATGCCATGCCATTAATTGTTATGTCGACCATAACGAATATTAATGCAATTACAAAAACTATAGCTCTGTGTACGTGTTTCAGATTGACGATTACAGCTTCGTGCCCTATGAACCTGCAATACTTCCCAATGGATCGCCAGTTGTGTCACATTGAGATAGAAAGTTGTAAGTATCTGAACTAATTTGTATTATTGTACGCCAATATGTGTGTGTTGTTGACAAACTTGTATATTTATCACAAAATGCTACCTTTGATAATACAATATTGATACTTAATGTTTTAGCTACTATCAGAGTGTTGCTGGACAACCGCACGCTTTGTGTGTCAGTTGCAACAATGTAATTTTGTTTTTAAGAATCGCAAAATATCGACGGCAATGAAAAAATACAAATGCAGTGCCAGGCACTTTTAGTTACAGATGACAAAACAGTCGAAAACAATATTACTAAACGTATACGTGTGTATTGTGCTCACCAAAGCAATCATTAATTTGATTCTTTACCACGATGCAAACCTATCACTAGGCTTACAGATGTGTTGTGAACACTTTCTTGTATCACAGATGCTACTCAGGGTACCCTGTGAGCACAAGCGTACTACATAATCGTCGACACGTGCTGTGATTTCCCTCGTGTTTTCATAAGTTGGAACGTCTCCTTCTCGCATACAGCACCCGCAGAAGGCAGACCCGTCAATAGTAAGCCTTTGTTCTCACGAGCATTTAGCATACAAAGTGATACTGAGACATCGACGCTGCGACATGCTGAGCGGGTTAAAGGAGGCGGGGGACGGTGGCGCCCGCGGGGTCTGCACAACTACCGAGGGCCGTGCCGCAGACAAGGCACCGCACGCGCCTCGGCGCACACCCAACACACCCTCGCACCACCGCCGCTTTCGCTCATCACAGGCACCCTACAGTCACTGCACTTGCATGACCTTACATTTTAATGCTTTCTCTATATAGTCACTATTATCATTGTAGAAAACTCTAATATTTTTTTTTTGTCAAAAATCATTTATAGAATAGTTAATACTTACCCATTTATTTTTGTGGTCCTTCTCACCCTTGTAGGTAGTAGTAATCTTTTTCTATCATCCAATTAAGTCGAACCAAGGGAAATGTAGTATGTATTGTGGAAGTACCTGGGTTCGGCTTAATTACGTCTCGCCACTTGAACCCATCCTCGACACAGGCGCGGCCGCGTGAGGGAAACGCGATGCTTCGCAGCGTAAGTGATAGCGTTTTGTGTGTTTGGCATGTCTCCGGAGTCGGGTACACAATGAGAGACATTCGGTACCATTGGAAAGATGGGGTGAACAGCGTCGGTATGAGCAACGAGGTGCAGCTGCCGCAGTTCCGGGTGCTCGGCCACCGGCAGCGCGCCACTGTTGTTACATTGACGACAGGTAACCGATCGCAATAGCCGCTCTCCCAGCACAGCACATCCATAACTCCGCCACCGACCCCGTCTCCCTCAGCCCGTGTGCAGACGATTGTAACCGCGACACAAGCACACACGCTAAACATAACACGACAATCGCACGACGAGACGCGCGAATCCGAACTCGCGACTCCCCTGCTCTTACCCCAACCGAAAGACAATTCGTGTTGTAAAACCCATTGCGATGGGCCTGGGGTTGTTTCATTTATAATGTCCGCTGCGCACAGTCGGCTACACCATGCGGGACATCAGATACAAATGGAACGAGGGGCCCAACTCTGTGGGTGTTTCCAGCGAGGTGTCGCTGCCGCAGTTCAAGGTGCTGGGCCATCGCCAACGAGCTATGGAGATCTCCCTTACTACAGGTACTTGGGTTCGCAGGGGAATCTATGTAGGGAACAAAAAAAATATAAATGAGACACCACTACGTGGAACACTGGACAGAAACAGCCACGATTCTTATCACGTCCTGCTTTTGTATTATTGCACAAAACACTATGAGTGGTGTGAAATAGATTTTATGTCATGTTGTATGGTTAATTAAGTTTTTTTAATATCTGGAATACTTTCCAAAGTTTAAAAAACGTAACAAATCAACTTAATCTCCTAAAAGTCGAAGTGTAGAAACAGAGTTTGTTCATACGTTTACTATAATGATGACATTCCGTTATGGTGATTATTATGATACTTTCTCTTCGATATACTCCTATTTTAAGACGATAAATACATACATGTGTAATTGTTTATTTGTATTATTCCTGCTCTTATTTATTTGAAACCTTTTACAGGAAATTACTCAAGATTGGCATGTGAAATTCAATTTGTCCGATCAATGGGATATTACCTGATTCAAATTTATATTCCGTCTGGTTTGATTGTCATCATATCATGGGTATCATTTTGGTTGAACCGGAATGCCACACCGGCTCGAGTGGCTCTAGGCGTTACCACTGTGTTGACGATGACAACGCTCATGTCGTCAACGAATGCGGCTTTACCTAAGATATCGTACGTCAAGTCTATCGACGTATATTTGGGAACCTGTTTCGTGATGGTCTTCGCTAGCTTGCTAGGTAATAATATTTTATGTATATTATTGTTAATTTATATTTAAATTACAACTGCAAGGCGATTTGTTCACGTAAGTCGAATTAAGATTATTCTCTTATGCGAATGTGCATAGCGATAGTCGCAGCAACACGTTGTTAAATATCTCGTTATGGACGTATTTCTCTCATCTTTGCAGAATATGCTACTGTTGGATATATGGCCAAAAGAATACAGATGAGAAAACAAAGATTTGTAGCTATTCAAAAAATCGCCTCTGAAAAGAAAATCCCAGTTGATTGTCCCCCTGTCGGTGACCCACACACACTGTCTAAAATGGGAACTCTTAGCAGGTGCCCACCTGGAAGACCATCGGTAAACTAGTTCAATTTATAATTGGTATTTCTTTTAAAAATCTGCAGTGTTTCCAACGGTCCTCATATGTTTTCCAGGAGGTGCGATTTAAAGTACATGACCCCAAAGCTCATTCCAAAGGCGGCACTCTAGAGAATACCATCAACGGTGGCCGCAGTGGAGCAGAAGAAGAAAACCCAGGACCTCCTCCGCATATCTTACATCCTGGCAAGGTGAATATTGACATGACCCATGTGGACATGTAAACTTTTGTATATTATTAATTAAATAATAAGCGAACAATTATGCTTGCGATAAGGCTATGCGTCTTGTTTTCAGAGATAGATATGCTGAGCGTTTGCGACTTTTAAAATATTTGTGAAATATGATTATAGTTACGAATTATTCCCACTCAGATTAATATTCTAATCTTATCGAATGGTATCTCATAGAAAGTAAACAACAATCTGGTTGATAATACACTTGGAAATGAACTTTATATGTCTATTCTAAGAAACACAATCTTTAAAACGAACTTTAAGTACAAAATGTATCTTATTTCTAGCATTTGATAATGGTATAAAGCTTACAAACATTAAGATGTTTGTAGTAGTAATTTAGGAAAAATTGCAATTATTCCCCTCCATATTATCCACTTACACCCATTCATTTACTTGGAATTCATTTTTAAAAAGTTTGATCAATCTTGACCCGGTTATATGTTTCTTTAGTAATTTGAATTTTACCCCCATCCTTATGATATATCCCTCTGATATTTTGATACACACTCTTTATCTTGAGGACCACATATTACAATCAATTTATTTCCACAACTACCTTCGTTATTGATGTCACCGAAAGGTCTTGATTGGAATAATGGAACTCATTAAAACCGTTATACATAAAAACGTTTTATAACATGTGTGTTTCAATAAAAAAAAGTCCACCGACGGTCAAAATGGCTGAGTAAGAGATAATGTATTTTTTTTTAAGAGAACAGTCGCCATTACCCAGTTGTTCCTGTTACTTCAAAGACATAAAAGCTTTTGTTGACCGTACCTATATCGGGAAATTGTTGAAACAGGCCATCATTTTCAGAAAGCCCTACATGAAATGTTTTAGATCCCCGATAATTCAAACTCAATTAAGGAAATTGAGTGCCCGGTACTTTTACAGAGCATTCGGAGTTTTTCATTATGTCACGACTTCACGCTGTATTTCTATAGATAATGGTATTTCTTTGATCAAACCAACCCAGCTGAACTCTAGTACTTACAATAACCCAATTTTACCCCAATACCTACCCGGTTTTGGACTTATGGGGAGCCTACTTAATATAATATGTTTGTAAGTTTTAAAGCATTATAAACTAATTAGACGGTGTAAATGTTTTGCATATTTATTGTCCTATAACATTTAACATACTACATAAATTGCAGTTATTATACTTAATTAATATAAGTTAAGTCAACTAAAGTTCATTTAGCTACATGAAAGGTGTTCTAGCTGACCAATTAATACCTATTTATTCTCATAATGCAAATCTTTCTATGAGGTGCTATTTATACAGCTTTGATAAACTAAGTTACTCTAGTCAATTTCGCATTTTGAGAAGTCATATTTGGGCTAATCTCTAAATAATATAAAATCTCAATTTAAAGCACTCAATAACTATACATATAAATTTCGTAAGAAATGCTAAATACATTATTATGTTTTTCTTCATGATTGACTAGTTTCAAGCCACACACGACTCGGCGACTGTCGCGGTATGCTACTCTTGAATATGAGTCTCTAGTATGGCTTGAAACTAGTCGAGATCCTCGTAAAATAATTACGAGAGTAAGCCGAATAACATAATAATTGGCTCAGTAACTATTAAGTTTAGGGTACACGATATTAATCTCATCCACACTACTGTTCTAACAGGAATACAGCATGTTATTAGTAACCGGTTCACTTACATACGTACCTTACCTACACAACATGCACTGAGCAGATTCTTAGTAAATTGTTTTCATTTTCCAGGACATAAGCAAATTGCTCGGCATGACTCCTTCGGACATCGACAAGTACTCTCGCATAGTATTCCCCGTCTGCTTCGTATGTTTTAACCTCATGTACTGGATCATATACCTTCACGTATCCGACGTCGTGGCTGACGATCTGGTTCTACTGGAAGAAGATAAATAGAGGGCGCTGTGTACATAATCCACTTATTTTCTCACATTGCAGTATTGAATAATAATTTGAAACAGTTTATTAAATACTCATATTATTCCCCTCTTTAGTAAAGGAAGAACATAATTGTATTTAGATTTTCAATGTACACGAAACTATCTCGTCGTTTTTCGAAATTGATTTGTAGATAATCTATACTTAATGTACTAAATGTAACGTGATAAATGTTGTATATACGTAAGACTCGGAAATATGAATTACGAACGATTTAGTATAAGATCTACATGTTTTTCTTGGAGTCTAAGGTAGAATCCAAACGACTGAAGTTTTGTGTCATTTAGATGTCACGTGTAACGACGTGATCTACTCTTGGGTTGATAAATGGATTCCAGGTTTAGAAAGTAGGCTTTACTGCTTTACTTAATGTCGGGCTGTAGGCTAAATTTTAATTTAATTATTTCGTATTTGTAAATATTAGGCTCGTTTACTGCACGTAGTTAGTTATAAATGTATGTGCAGCTTATGAGATTGAGTAAAATATGAATTTATGGTTTTCATATAAGTGAATAAATGGACTAGTATGTTATCCTTCATATAGGCACAGATGTGTTCCTAAATTTGGCAAGTGGGGAATAGTATTTTTCTTCTACCGAATTTCAGTAAGGTTTCAAATTATTATTATTATTAAGTGGTAAAATGAGTGGAATTACGATAAATCCGTAGTAATACGAATCTGATGCTCAAATTTCTCAGCTTGAATTATTTAATTAGTTTTAGTAAACTTTTGTAATTATAACATAAACTTAGTGATTCGTTTATTCTTTGCTGATATCGTTGTGATAATATCATTAGGAATTTTATTTTTTAATTGTAGTTGCAGACCATTCCAATGTCCTAAACTATTTTTGTTTGGAACCGTAGTTTTATTTTGTAACTTGTAAATTATTAATGAATGTTTTGAGCAAGTGATTTTGCTTCACATCATTGAATGCGTGTTGAGTTTTGATATTAATATAATTTAATATTGTTTACTATATTATCTCTGATCGATAAGTCATGAAATAAATAAGTCAGAAATCAGCAGCATTCAGAACATTTAGAACATATCCCTACGCTAATCGGAGCAGGTAAATATTAGCAAGTTATCATAAATCTGTTTTTATTTCTATCATTATATCGGAGCAGATCAGTTCCATTAGAGGCATGCAGTCGCCAGATATTAATCTAATCTAAATCCAGCATGTATGTTCCCACTCTTGTCATATTGTACCTTTGCAATACATCGACTTTGTCAAATAAGGCTTCTGGTTTATTATTTCATGTTTTTTGGACTTCGCAAACAAGTTATATAGAAGTGTACAAACGCCAATCATGCGATTGATGCATTTTCAGGGAAAATAAATATTTTCTGCCTTCATACCGCTAATGTTAGAATGGCCGGCAGCACACATAGTTACGCATCCGTGACACTGCTAGACTATGGACCTCTATTTAATAAGAGGGGATTGTAATAATCTTCAAGCATGGTAGGCGCGTTGGAGATTGCAGTTTGATAGGTTCAGGTTTACCAAAGGGCGCTGCTGGCCCCGTCAAATATGTAGTACCTTATTCGGCTCTTACGACAACAACGGGAAGTTCAGCGATAGTGACTAATGTTTTCTATCCGACCGTCACCTCACGACACAGCCAGTTCATAAACTATGTAAAATACCTACACACACCTACATTTTTGTAATTTCATGTTTGAAAACGGTTACTTCGTCACACTATTATCCACTTATTAATATTGTTTATTGAAGATTATTAATTAAAGTGATGTATTTGCTAAGTATTTATTTTTGGAACGTTAAATTAAAAAAAAAATGTTTGATTTAGAATTGCATAGGCAACGGAATCTAAACCGGAATGATCAATTTGAATATTTCAATTACCTAAAATCAACTACTCAGGATATTGCATAGAAATTCTTGTGCGTAGTATTTTGAGGGACACATTAACCATTCAATCTATAAAACATATTCATCAAACAGCGATTTTTTGCTGGAATATCATTCAAGGAACATTCCTGCATTAGTTGACTTACACATTATAGAGCCCATTCATTTGATTCTGATTAATTATCATTAGTACTAATGATTTGTATTTCATCGTAAACAGTATGTAATAGATAAGTAAATACATAGTTTAGTCTTCTATTTAAATAGTTTTACCTCTGAGAATATTTGCTATTTCTTAACTAGCCGCACAATAGTCCATGCAATGCTTTCCTAAATTAGTTCAGTTTAGATGAATTAGCTTTTTTTGCTCGCTAGTACTCTACTAAAGCAGTAGTTGAAGCATAATTGAGCATTAGAAACGCGTTGTCAATATGGGAATCATATTCGTGGCCTGCACTGCTACAGTGACTGGCGTCGGATATCCGTTCCTATCTTCACAACGTTTGGTGACTGTCCTACCCTCGAATATCTGACAAGCAGGGCTCCTGTCTTCAGCTACGACTCGCAATGGATTTGTTGTGCGCAACACGTTTGAGGTTTGAGTTCTTGACATACACATACACCATAAATGATACGTTTAACGTAAAGACTCAAATGAATCAACATATAGGAATTCATTCAAGCATTCGAACATTTGTAGAAATAATAGCAAATGTAATCGAGTAGAAAATCGAGAACCTACTGTGTAATTGTTTAGTCATAGAATAAAACCCAGAGGATGTACTGCTGAATTATTTTCTCAAGATATTTGTTTTATTAAGGGTACAAACGCCGTATTGTACTCATAGCTTCAGCAGTCCACCTTTAATGTTAACTAATTGCATTTTGTTCATAGAGAATAATAACTATTTGCATAAACTGCACGGGGTACAGTGCGGTTAATACTAGAACACGATATCCGCTAGATACAATTTTTACATTACTTTGAGTTTCGTTTAGTGCTACTTACTATATATTTGTTAGCGTTCTAAAGATGTAAATTAGAAAAAAATGAAGTCATTATAATATAGCTATTGAATGTAATCAAATAAAGGCTTCTTTAATAATAATTTAATACCTTCTATACATTTTCATTGCCAAGTACACGTAGATTATGTATGTTTGATTAATCTTTCAGGTAAAAGTGTAGACAATGCATTTTCAATCCAGATTATAGCCATAAATTACGTAGACTAAACATTTGGAATGAACCTGGTTTTAGACAAAGACGCAGTTTAAAAACAAGTTCATTTTGTATACTCCCAAATTTTAGGCGAAACGTAGACTCTGTTTTTGGATAACCCAGATTTGGGCTTAAAAAGTAATACCTTTTAGATATATTTTAGCTCGTAATGTAAATAAAACTTATTGACACTTTCGTATAATAAATAGCACTCAAATATAAGGCACCGTGTAATCTGTGTATTCACAATTTTATTTTATTGCATTTATATTACGACTACGAAAGTCTGTTGTATTACATAATAGAATATAATTATATAATAAGGTAGCACGCTGGTAGAGGAAAATATTGAAAGTAGGGTCTACTATGTGACGTCGGCCACGTCTCTCCGAAACGAAATTCTAAAATATTTGTCTAGTGACTAGTAAATAAGTTCAAGACATTATAGGTCTAAGAAAATGTATCTTAGTTGATCTAAATATAATATTATAATTAAGTAGTTCCGCACTTTCTTAAGTAAGTCACCTTTAATACAAATTACTAGCTGTGACCACATTTTGCTTCAAGTTGATTAAATCAAATCCATGATTATTGCTAAGCAATTTTTTTCCACAAAAGGTTAAAAAGTAATTTATTTGTTGAAGAGTTACACTAAGAATACATAGTAGCAGATGCCAAATGTATCAATACTAATACATCCTGCATTATGCAAAATTTATCATACATTGTCTGATATATCAGATGATGACTAGTATAAATTGGCCTGACCTCGAGTCAAGGTTCCGGTAAAGCAAAAACTCAATTCCTGAAGCCAACTGCTTCTAAAGAATAAATACGCCCAATATTTTTTATAGAATACGTATTAAAAAAATAATTAAGGTAACACTGTTCTCCTAGGAAGTTCTAAAAACTTTCAATCAATATTACTAAACTATCCTACGTGACAATTTATACTAGTCTTTCTCTATCTATCACTATGTACGACTTCAATTCGTTTCTTTGTTTTTCGACAACATGGCTTTCAATTTTCCTTTTTATTTACTGTACTACTAAAGATGAAAAGACTTTAACCACTGTCCTGTATTTCAACTTCTAAACTCTGTATTTCCCTTTAGGATATCGATACTTCAATATATTAAATGAGCACGTTTGTTTCCATATACAATAAATTTTAACGTAGTTGAACAATACACAAAATGAACACCCCTAAAACTGACATTACATGTTTGTATTTTCGTATTCAAATTATACATTGAACTCTAGTAAAAGTAAAGCTTAATGTTATTAGGAATGGATTTTGGATATATTTTGAATCGTGTAGGTTAGTTTACGTGGAACTTAAATAATGTTAACGTCTCCGGGGAAATTAACTTAAAATCGAATGCACAAATATCAGTGAAAGTCTTTTTGTCTGTAGATTTTATTTTGAGAGTATATACCGTTGAGAATTTATAGAAATAGTTACATATATTGCAGATATATAAGATAAAGCACCAAGAATGCCTACAAAGCTGTTATTCCCGTACTGGGCACATAATGTTGTAATAAGATTACTATTATGTCACGACTAGTATCAGTGGATACTGAATCAAAATGACTATATTATGTATTATAACTTATAAGTATTTTATTTTTTGTTAGATATTTGATTTTTTGGTACATTTTAAGAGGTACATTTCAGTTTATTTGTGTTTTCCACGAGTTAATTATACGTTATTTACAACGTTTACGAAATTAATAAATAAACTTACTCACATACAAAAAAGTAATAGGAAAATTCATTTAGAACTTTTATATTTTTATTGTTTATCTATCAATTTATGTAGGGTTATACCTCTAGAATCATTCAGTACTTTGGATATATTCAGGAATTCAATGGAAAGCTAAATCTGCCACTTAATTGAAACTTCGGTCATTCTGCCTATGTCTTGCACTAAAATATTTTTTGTAACCTACTTTCTATAACATACATATAACTACTTTGATTACCGTCAGCAAGTGGTCACACAATTTTATAAATAAAAAATATATTTTTGAAACAGTTTTCTTTACATTGCAGTTTTATAAAATATGTTGTTTTTAAAAATAAATCACCATTTTCTGTTATGTACGACATAGATATAGACATAATATACATTTTGTATATCGTATTCAATAAGGTAATTCTAAACATTAACATTGTATGCAATATTAGTGCATCTACATAATTATGAATAGTGTGAAAGTACCGTAACAATGTACATGAAATAGATTTTCTGAAGAAACGCTAGATAAACTTTGAATGTTGTTACAGAATTGAATGATAAATAATATTGAACGCACGTGTCTTAGATATTATAGAGTTTTATAAATAGATATACAATAGTTATAATATATGATAAATAACAGCAAGCCACGAATGGAGCGAATAGATTATCTCTTTTGAAAACTATTTATACATCATTATACATCACTGGATATAAATATTTGTATGACTGCTCTATTTCTTAAAAATATCTATTATTGAATAAAGTCAAGTTTAAAAAAATGACTAATATCTGCTTCGGCAGTCAAAATGGCACCATCACGGAATAGATGCACGAATAAAATAAACTCGATATGAAAAAATAGATAATTTATTTACAATATTCGTTAGAGTATTTTATAATCACGTTATTTATATAAATTCATGAGTACCTACTATGTTTTTTTTCTATAGGACTAATTTATTTGTTTACATTATTATTTATAAACGAAGGTTTAATTCTACACTTACCAGTGATATAGTTTGTACTGTCCCCAACAGCATAACTGATTAAAAGATGGCAAAAGAAGACTTAACGTCTATTGTATATCTTGTTATTTCTTTTCCAATAGATGTTTGCGTCCCATTCGTTTCTATATTGGTACTAAAGTCCTGATTATATGTTAACTTGTTAATTTTTTCATTCTTATTTATTAAGGAACCGTTTATGCCATAACACTTGGGGACTCAACAAGACACAGATAATAATTATTTGATATACAACACGTTATTCCACGATTCTTCGTTTATCGTAATTAAAACAAATCTAGTAACCATACTCCTATTTATAAATAATTTTAATTTTTAAAAAGCCATCAAAATATATTACGGTGAAGCTTTATAAACAAAGTCAAGAATTAATGTGACATTCTTGTTTCATTTAACTATTTAAAATAAATGTACCTACACATTTTCTGCAAGCACATTTATATGTAACTGTGTCTTGTTAACTTACAAATAATGAACACTGCTAATATATTATGCTCACTCTTCGTCATCCTTCCTACCGTATTCAATTACCTAACCGTCAAATATTTAGAATTATATAATTAGCGTTTATTCAATAAAAGGATAAACCTTTTTTAGGTATAGTAGAATTTTTTGTCACATTTCCTTAAATTTTTTTTTTTTTTTTTTTTTTTTTTTTTTTTTATAAAAAACGTTGCCCCACACTAGGATTTTCTCCTGTGTCGTGGGTGCGTTTACAAACATTCAAGTTCACATACACATCTCACCCAGACCCGAAACAACAATTTGTGGATCACACAAAGTGTTGTTCCGTGCGGGAATCGAACCCGCGACACGTTGCTCGGCAGCCGGTTGCCCAGCCACCGCACCAACCGTGCAGTCGTTTCAATTCAACTTGTAATACGAAAATGGTGTCAAACTTTTTTATTTATATGATAAATGGATTTTTGTTTTGTATGAATATCGCAGTAAATATATGCTAACTTAAGTTAGTGTACTACACATAACTTTATCTTCAAATATTACCAAATGTTCTTCACACAATTTTATTAATTCACACGACTCTACATCATAAATTGATGAATAATTATAATGAACTAGTATATAGTGTTAATTATCTGTATTGCTCACTCCTAACCTAAGCATATATTTAATATTGGGAAAATAATCAGAATTATTATTGCACCTTACGAACATTACGTAGACACTTCCTGGTTAAACTTGACTAGTATAAGTATCTGTTTTATCATATTAGAAGCAACATAGCATCAAATGATAACTTTGCGAGAAACCGATTTGTTATTATGAATAGTCGAAGCCAATTTATAGAAAGTCGCGAGGAAAAACATAAATTTTAGATTGAAACGAACGAGGCAATAGAACTGATAGCTGGTTTCACTGCAGTAGAATATAATAATCAGTGAATCGTAGAGTAAAAAATAGAACAAAAGTAGAATTAAATTGAGAATGTTGTTAACTGGCATAACACGAATGATAAGGTTGAAACACACAACGCTAAAATATAAACAATTAAAATGTTGGTTGTTTGTTTTGGAAGCTTAAATATGACCGAACTACATTTCCGTTGGTAGGAAATGAACATATAAACAATACGATATTTTGCTGTTTCTGCTAACATTTGTTAATTGACTGAAACACGTTTTGTTTTCTCCAACACGCTTTATGAGTGCATAGTGATGTGCCATAGTCAATGTCGATATTTTGTAACAATTGTCACATACCTGTATACCTAAATTTAATTTGTCGTAGCCTAAATACTTAAATAGTTTTTAATATTATTTGCTACTCATGTTGTTTGTGTACTTATGAACGATTACTAATATGTAAAATGATACCGAAAAATAAAATGATTTTTCAAAAAAAAAACTGGTTTTGTTTCACTTCATTATAGAAATTAATATATTTAGTTTCTATTGTTAATTTTAACTTACCCTTTTCGTATTCCTTCTGAACGAAAGAGAAATAAAATACTTTGCCCTTCACCCCAAAAATTTTAATTAAACCCAAGTCTACTATTCCTAAGAGACGATAATGGTAAGAATCCTTTACTCTTTGTGTGATTCACAAATTACTGTTCAATGTACTTGGTCATAAAAACATATGATAAACCTATCAACGACACAGGACAATATTCCATTTGGTTGGCGTTAATTTAGAGAAAACAAGAATATGCGCACGATGTAAAATAAAAAAATAATAATAAATAATAATAAAAATCTTGATTCAGAATTTAAAAACTTCTACAATGAATCTTACGCTGGGGTCTCCTTTTAAGTATAAAAAAAATACCTGTGCTAGGAGGCCCCGCTCCTCAAAACTAGTAACAGTAGTATGTAGGAGTATACAATATATGAATTATTAATATTCATTCCAAACCTTTATTTTGTTAATTTGATATATAGCAATATATAGCACTTATAAGTTTGCCCTTCACGTTTATTGAGATTTTACTAAATAATTGCACGGTGTTTAAAGTTGTGTCTGGTATATGGCATTACTAGCACCCTTATTATACTATAGGCCTCATGGCATAACTGGTTAAAAGTGTAATTTTATGAGATAAATATCTTTAATGAGTAAAATATATAAAATAAAACTCGGGTAAGTAATGTAGGTGTATAATAGTTTAATAATAATTAATTGATAGCACAATTGTACACATAATTAAGTACTTATATATACCAACAATAAATATTTAATTATGATGAAATAAAAGTCAATATTATATTATATTTTATATTAAAACCTGTGAATTCCTGGACAGCATCTGGACGGACCGCTAGTTTATTTCAATTTTGTGCAATTTGAAAAGTTGATAAAACCTGAAAAAGAAGAATAAAATTTTATACTTATATTCGAAATATATAATTATATATACGCTAGCGCAGAAGTTACATGATATAATATATATATATTTTAAAGATAAACAATGAAATTCGCTGGGCATTTTACTCGCTACAGCATTACAAGTAAAAATGTTACATAATTATTATGCAATATCATATTACTTCCGATATCCTATTCGCTGTTGAGTTCGTTATTGTCGGGACAGAGTATACAATTAAAAATGTAAAAAACATTTATCACTTTACCACCGAAATAGTCGGGAAAAAGTGCCTGCTGTATTTAAGTGGATACATAATTATTATAGTACAGAGTGAAAGATGGACACTGTGTTATGTATCCAAGCAAGGCCTTTAGCCAAGCGCCACTTTAGCGCTTGCCTACACAGAGAGTAGAAATGAAAATGTATGGGGATGACACTGACAAGTGTCAAAATTTACGTCAATTCCATATAATTTGGTTTTCTATTCTACATGTAGACAAGCGCTAAATGGCATTTGGCTACAGCTGCAGATTACATATCTTAGAATACGCAGGCGTAAGTTAGGCGACTAATGACAATTTAGGAATACTTAATGATACATAACTCCCTCATCAAATATAAAAGTATTTGTGAAACGATACTTATTTGTTTTTACCTTTTTTGGAAGTTAATTTGAAATCACCCAACAGCATACAGATGGTCCGGTTTTTCGCCCCTCTCGAAACGTGTCCACATCTTCTGATATAGTGCTTCAAGACCCCGAGCGTAGTGCTCACAATCGAATAGAGTGCTTTCTAAGCGTGCTTTTGAAACCTTAGCTCGAATATATCTTCGACTGGAAAATATAAAAAAAAATGTTATTGCAATATTCAGTATTAGATTTTAGTCTGTAATTAATTACACGTATAGGTTTTTTTTTTCTTTCGTACACGGGCAAAACCGCTAGCAAAATCTAGTAATTTTGCATTACTTACTAAGTTCTATTTGTTCCCAATTTAACAGCGATATCTTCGTATTGTCTTTTACTTATGGCTATCAATTCCGCACAACCCAACGCGTTTAGCTGCGACGCCGCAACACTGTAATATAGAAATACACGTAAAATATACAATGTCGAAGTTTTGTTTTTTTTCCTACACTAAGATTTTCCTATACTGTGGGTGCGTTTACGAAAACAAGTCCCACACACATATCACACTCGACTCGAAACAAGTATCTGTAAATCATATATAAATATTTGTATCGTGAGGAAACCACGATAAGTAGTTTAGTTTGTGTACCCATTGCGTGAACCATGAGTCCAGTGTATTCATTATATAAATACGAATTCGTATAAATGACTAAACTTAGTAGTAAAAGCAGTGTTTGTGTAATTATTAATGGTAAAATTACAATAGCAAAACAATGTATATTAATACCGAGACGCTAAAGTTTCTCCTGGGAGTGTAACAACTGGCGTTCCTGCCCATAAAACATCCATAGCAGTCGTGTGCCCATTGCACAAAGGCGTGTCTAAACAAACATCTGCTAACTGTCCACGCCTCACGTGTTCCTCCTTGCATGCGATACTAGAAAATATGATCCGACCCGGCGGCAGCCCTGCAAAATATTACATTCTTATACCCGATCATCAATCACGTCTATAGCAAATAAACAAATAAAGTCAGTACCTAAACTCTGGGCATATTTATGTACATTCGGTTCGCCAGCAGCGGGGAAACTTAATAGCCAGAGAACGCTATTCGGTACCTTTTTCAGTATGTTCACCCACATTTCCAAGGCTCTGGGGTCCATTTTGTACAACTGATTGAAATTACAGAAAACAACTGCGTCAGCTGGCAAACCGTATTGTGTTCGCGATGTAAGTATTATATTTTCAAATATTTCTTCAGCAGCTGCTACTTTTTTATTGCAACTGTTTATTGCTAAACCATTATGTATTCGTCTCCCATTAACCACGACCTACAAAAATAAAAAATTAAAAGTAACGGTTAATACAGAAAGGTACTAGAATATTCATAACACGGCCGTTGAAAATTACCTGTGTAAGCTTTGGATCCGTAATGCTTTCAATAACATAACTTGGAATGTTTATATCGTTTTCGAGAATTTCTATCGGTGTGTAATCTTTGTGTTTGATCTCTTTGACTCTTGAAGTCGTACTAAATATTTCATTAATGTTTACGTCTTCTGAACAATTAATTAGAGCCATATTTGAAACAAAGTTATTTTTGTCAGCAGTTAAGACGTTGTAATATGTTTTTAAATGTGGAAACATTTGTTTATGATCTCCGACAAAATACGTATATGGCATAAAAGCAAACTTTTCAGTAAAATCCGTTTCAGTGGACACGGGCGAAGATATTTCGTCGGTTATTACGTAGTCCATGTATGGCGCACCACTCGTTCCCGGATATCCTAACCACATTACTTGAATGGGTGCGGGTTTTAAAGCAAAAATCTCATTCCGTGCTCCTTTAGTATAACCATTCATGTTTACGAGGATATGAATACCATCTCTGTGTATTATTTTTGCTGCTTCTATGTAACTGGATATAGAAGACAAATCAACAAAGTGCTCTGAGTCATTAACTATTCTACTACGGAATGTGGTTCCATCATCAAAGTTCAGCGCGTAGCAAAAGATTTCCACTTTTGATTGATCGTGAAGTCCTGGTATTGACTGCATTAAGTGCGAAGTTGGATGGTTACCAAAATCACTGCTAACGTATCCGATACGTAATCGTCCTTTTAATTCCTTTTTATGCAAAAAATTCACGTTGCCTAACATATTTACTTTC